GTTTATATTTTGAAGCTGATATTCCTTAGTATGTTATGCAGGTCTCCATCCCGGTGGAGTGATGTTCACGTTTGAAATGATGGAGCAGAAGAGGTTGACTGTGAGAGTATGGTGGGAGCAGAACTCTCTAGGAGGTGCCTGGTTGTCCTGGAGGATTCCGCTGATCTAGTCGCTTTGTACCTATGCATTCTGAGGGATGATAATGGCTCTGGGTGTGGAAGTACTTACCAGACACTGAACCAGTGCCAGGTTTACTATTTACTATTATTTTATTATTATTGCATTTATTTACTCTGTGTATTTATATGTTGCATATTTTCTATGTTGTGTATTTGTGAGGGTACATGTGAGACGTGGCATATGTGTGGCAATCCGTGGACAGCATGAGGGCTTTCGTTTTCTCCTTCCACCATGTGAATGTCAGGCGGCAGGCTTGGCAACAAGTCCCTTAACCCACTGAGTCATCTCTGCAGCCCAGAATCTAGTTCTTAACTTGAAGATGCATCATGAATTCCTGGAATATTCTAACACTTCTAAGTGGGTTTTCTGTTAGTCCTGTTTTACCATGAAGAAACTCAGGTTTCTGGAATTTGTCATTGCTGTAGAGCCCCACAACTAGTGTGTAACAGAACTATGCATTATCTCAAACTTCCAGAACCCTCCACTCCATGCTATGCACATCTGTAGAGACAGTGGAGCTGCCTATTCATAGACCCAGACTTCCTGTTTTGTCACCCCACCCTTTAGCTGCCACGCACCTCTCCTAAACACAGCCTGGTATACACTGTTTGGGCCCCAGTCTTCACCCTGCTCCACCCCTGCCTCAGCCCTTGCCTGCCTCACACCAACATATCCTTCAGTGCCTCCCATAGTGCTCCACCAGTGCTTCACTAGGGGCCATGCTAAGCACCCTGCTCCTTGCTCCCAAGGCATCCCTTGTAACACTTACCACATCACACTGCAGCCTAACTTTTCTCTCTCGGTAAGATTATGAGTCCTTTGTGGCAGAGACCAGATCAGCCTTGTCTGTCTTTTTTGGTCCGAGCTGGAATCTGGGATGGAGTAAAAGCTTCACAAATATCTGCCAACCTGAATTGACTCAGTGTATGTCCAAACTGGGAGACTGAGGTAGCTATACCTATAGACATTGTAATATACATTGAGACCTAAAGAACTTACATCGATCACTTTATGTAATCTTCTAAAGCTGATAATGCTCCCACAGATGAGGAAACTGAGGTTCCGTTTTCTCAAGTTCACACAGCCAGAGAGTGTTCAGACTTGGAGTCTAAAGTTTTCTCCCTCACTTCCCAGATCACATCTGATTCAAACAACTTACATATTTTACCAAGAACACTGTAACTGAGAGAGATAAGGTGCCGGCTGAGGGTCATTCTGTTTGTACCCCATTCTGTGCTCCTTTCCTCAGCAGGACTCGTCCAGCAAGGTGACAAGGCGAGAAGAGGGTCCTGGACAGGACCGGCGTAAGCGGCCTCTGTCTCTTCCCATTTACTCTCTCCCTGTGTGTCACAACCTGAATGTTTAAATTTCGTATTTAGTATTTACTCTGAAATGGCTTTCATCTGATTTCCCCCTTGCTCACCAATTTAGCTGTCAGAGTAAATAAATGTGAAGCTGGGTCTCCAGTCTCTCCAGCTCACATTACCTTCCTAGAATTACTCCCGGCGGGGTGGAACCACTGCTGGGGGCCTCCCACAGAATTATCCGGTTACTAATGAAACCCCTTTTCAAGCCCAAACCTTCAAGGACAACAGAGTCTCAGGTGGGGGGAGGATGGCAAATCCACCTCAGAGGACCAGATGACCATATCCTGTTAGAGACCAATGGGAGCTGAAATGATGACATTAAAGATGCCTGGTACTTATATAGCTCCAGAATGGAGTCAACATTTGTAAAAGTATTAATTAGTATTTAATGTGTGGTTAGTTTTCACTCCATCCCTGAGGGGTGAGAATGTTTAGCCCCGGTGCAAGTTGGGAAACTAGACCTCTAAGAGGTAAAGTGACCTGCCCACAGTCTCCTGCAAGAGGAAAATGAGTATCCTGTCTGAGCAGACTAAATGAGTTGCTCTACGTTTCTCAATCTGGCTTCATTCTGCTGCAGGAGTCTGGGCTTGTGGGAAGCAAGATTTCTTGTCTGAAGAGATTGCATTTTTGTCTTTGAAGTTGGATACGCTCTGGGCTAGAATAATGGGTCGGTTGCTTCTTGGGTGAGTTATTCGGGAGAGCTTTTGAGTGTTTGAATTATGCCCTGCCTATCCCAGAAAGAACCTGAAGTAGTATCCAGTAGAAGAAACACTACAAAATCTGGTGGGTCCATGCCATGGTGGCCCCTGATATTCAAGGGCTGGTTACAGACATTCTGAGTTACTGACACGTGTTTCACAGTTGGGTGGGGCTGTGCTTAGGAGATGGACTCTGTTAACAGCCCCACCTAGCAGGGGAGAAAACTGAGGCTGAAGGAGTGAATGAAGTACTTGCCGATCCAAACAGTAAGGGAGTAAGGGGCGTTGTGGAGGCTGGCACGGAGGTGGGCAGCCCTCAGCCTTCAGACTTCAGTACTGCATTTCCTCTTCCCTCTTGTTCTAGTTTGATTTTTCTGAGGATCCAGGTGTGGAGCTGCATGGAGAGAACAGTTTCTGCTCAGAGAGCCAAGACTCAAATCTAGATTCCAGTCAACCAGGGCACTGTATCACTTTTATAGAGTTACTAGGGGGATTGAAGAGGATGGTGCATACAGAACAGAGCTAAGTCACACAAATGGTGATTACGTCTTTGTTGTAGTCATTGCTGTCATTCTGGGAGCACGTGCTTCTCACTCCTCATAGCAGTGGCACCCCGTTTGCTGTCACTAGACCTTTGCTGCCATTTCTCTACCCGGGCCGCGGTCTTCTATCTCTCAAACCATGTAAATCTCAACTGCCATTTTGTTTCAGTTGATCTTGCCTTACCTAAGAAGTTTTGGAGGACCAAAACAGCCTTCAAGTCATGTCTTTTTGGGTTTCTATGCATGCCCCCTACTGTGTATTGCCCTCTGGACTCTCCAGGCCACGGAGAGGAGAGAAAAAGAGAGGGGAAGAGAGGAGAGGAGAGGAGAGGTAGAAGAGAGGAGAGGAGAGGAGAGGAGAGGCACAAAGACAGTGCTGTTGTTTTTCTGTCTTTGCCGATGAGCCAGAAGTTATATACATATTTTTTACAAAATATGGAAAGCATGTGTGTGTGTGCACATGCTCACCATGAGTGGTCATAGTCATGGGTATAGCATAGCAATCAAGGTCATGAGCTCTGTAGGTGAATCTGGTTTTGAGTTCTCGGCTCAGGCGGTTAATAGCCATTTGGCATTATAATGGTTATGAGTTCTTCAAACCTCAGTTTAAAATGAATAACATGGGTGCCATAGGGAATGCTGCCTCATACAGAAAATGAGAGCATGGTTTTACAATGCTTAGCACTTTAATACTTATTCCAGATTAAAGCATCCAAGAATAGTAATGTGTACGTGTACATATGTGTGCATGTACACACCTCACCTACTTCCAAAGTGTAATCTGTTCTCTTTAGTATAAAAGAGTGGTTCAGAACCCTTCTCTCTAAATGCCTGTGCTTGAGAGCAATAAATCACTGGAATGCAAGGGCTGATGCCAATAGCTAGGGCTGTTGCCATTAGCTAAGGCTGTTTCTGCCGGAAGGGACAGATATGTGTCTCTAAAGCTTCAGAGGTGGGTTCTTAGTATGTGGTGGTATATAGAAAATGTTCTCAGTATCTGTTTCTGGCTATGCCTATTTGTGCAGATGGAGACTGGCAGCTGGGAATGATGTTCTTTGCAAAAGTGTATGTTGCTTTCCCATAAGCCTGGTGCCTGGGTCACCACCTGTAAAAATGCAGAACATAGTAGGAAATGTCAGATAACAGACAAGCAGTTACACGGGCTTTGAAGCTCTGTGGGAGCCTGGACTCTCCTGAATATGACTGTGTGTCCAAGTGTAAGCGTGATTGTGGGACACTGTTTACATCTGTAAATGAGGGCAATTATGGAGATGGTGGTCTCTGTGATGGGTGGGTTGCTGTGCTATGCAGGACTGGGTCTAAATCTGAATGTGCACATTTTTAAAGAAGAGGATACATGTTTACACACTTTTTTGCACAGTTTGTGTGTGAAGAAGGAGACTGAGGCTTATAGTGTCCAGTTGTGTTTATCAGTGTAAGGACCTTTGAGTTTGAGGGTCTGTGTTTGGGGACTGTGCCTCCTATCTACATATCCAGGTCTCTGCCTTTCCCTAACTTTCAATATTGTTAGAGCACCATGGAAGGTAGAAAGTGTAGCGAAGTAAATCTTGAAGTGAAGGTGGATGTCCCCAGCAATTGCTTAGGGGAACTACCCTCCCACTGCCACTAGCACACTGTTCTGACCCCAGTTCTAGTCAGTCCTTAGGAGCTAGTATAGGCTTTGGCTGTTCGGGAGCAGAGATATCTTTGCAGGAGAGTGAGGAGTGTGTAGATGTCCGGAATCTGAGGGATTGGTGTGAGCAGGTAACCATTTGCAACCACATGTACACAAATGTGCCCGGCTCGGCACGGCATCAACAGAGTGTGGCTTCACATGAAATCCAGCTCTGCAGATGGGCTGACCACGGATTCCTCTCGCACTTATGAACCGGCTGTGCGAGGGCGGTGGGTGCCCTTGAGGGAGAGGCGGTATTAGGAGCTGTGAGGTTGTAAGCCCGCCAGTGTCTTTGTATGTTAGCATGTTCCCAGAGTCTCTCTGTAGCGCTGAGTTTCAGCGTGTCTCTCGGTGTGTATGTCTCTTGAGTCTCTGCCTCCTTGTGAGTGTCTCGCTCTTCTTAGCGGGGAGGGGATTGGTCACGCATGACTCATCTTGAACGGAGCGGGGCTCCAGCGGCAGGGCGGTCGTCGCCGCAGCTGGAAGGGGAGGAGGACGAAGAGGAGGAGGAGGAAGAGGAGGAGGAGGAGGAAGAGGAGGAGGAGGCAGCAGCGGCAGCAGCAAAGGCAGCTGCAGGGACCTCTCCAAGTTTGTCGGGACCTTCTTCGGAGGAGGCAGTGGCGCCGGCAGCCAGGGAGGCCGAGACTGCGTTCAGGCCGGGGGCGGGGGCTGAGGCTGGGCCCGGGGCTGCGGGGCCCGAGCCTCGGCTCTCCAGCTCTCTCAGCAGCCTCTGCCCCCAGGGCGCCCGAGGCCCCCCTCCGCGCCGCTCGCGGTGCTGTGCGCCCGCAGAGCCCTTCGCTTCCGTGCCGATGTACTGGAAGCATGAGAGCGCCGCCCCGGCACTGCCCGAGGGCTGCCGCTTGCCAGCGGAGGGCGGCCCCGCCACTGACCAGGTGAGCTAACTGGAGAGTGGGTGAGCCTCCACGGTCTCGGGGCCAGCGGGAACCAGGATTCAGATCGGCCGGGCCCAGTGGGGCAGTAGTAGGGAGGAGGGGTGCTGGGTAAGCCCGAGGAGTGTGTGTCTGCGAGTGTGAGAGCGCGCGAGCGGGTGCGGGGGGGGGGGGTCGCGGAAAGCGGGAACACATTATGCAAATGTTGGAGGAATTTCTCAAAAAGCGATTTAGCAAAGACATAGGCGAATCAAGAGGAGGCGAGGCCAGTATTGTCCGTCTGAATAGGCGCTGATAGCGCCGATGCGCCAGGGGTTGTGCCGGCGCAACGCTGAGAATCCCGACGCCCGGCCGGTCCCGGGCGCTCCGAGAGTCTGGAGGGTTCTCTTTCATCCTTCAGGAGGCCACTCTTTTCTCTTTTTTGGCCTCATTTCATTTGCCGATCTCGCCCTCTTTGACTCCAGGTTTCCCGTGGACTGGCCCTTCGAAAGGCGTTTGAATCGGTGTCAATATCCCCGCTTCAATTTCGCGGCGCGCGTCGGGCGGGAGGGCGGATGCTCCCAGTGCTCTGGGTTTTATTTTTCTCAACCACCACCACTACCACCACCACCCCCATCTCCTTTTTATTTTCTTTCTTTCTCTCTTTTCTCCTTTTTGCATTTTGTGCCTAGAGTAGGAGAAGGGAGGGGTGGAGGGAGAAAAAAATTCGATTTTTAATTACTACCATTAAAAAATCAAATTTGCAATTCTTTGGGCGGCCTGATGGATCTCACTGATTGACAGTTGGAATTGACACTCTGGCTACCTCTTATCTTGGGCATTCACGACAATTTCTAATTGCAGGTAGTTTGTGTGTGTGCGTGTGTTTTTTTCCCCCCTCAGAGGCTTGGATTGCAAAGGAACTAAGCGATTACTTCAAGAGCCACGGGTTAAGTGCAGGGAGAGGGGGAGAGAGAGGGAAAAAACCCAATCCAAATTCAAATTGCTTCATTAGAGAGACACCGCTTTTGTGGGGAAGGGCTTTAAATGCCCACTACAAAGTTAGGACTCATTGTTCGCCGCCGGTTTATATAACAGGCGCGGGGAGGCGCTGGGCTCTGACAGCTCCGAGCCAGTTCATCAGCCGCCGTCGCCTGCATTCCCTCCCCCTCCCCCAGGTGATGGCCCAGCCAGGGTCCGGCTGCAAAGCGACCACCCGCTGTCTTGAAGGGACCGCGCCGCCTGCCATGGTGAGTCCTTTGGGCTCGGCTTTCGGCCCTGAGTTCCCCCAAGAACACAGGCCAGAGCATCTCTGGCTCAGCCTTCTGGCTATCAACCTCTACCCCTGTGCTGGAGAATTGCCGATAGGAGCCGCCTCTCTTTTAACCTTGGTTTTTCTGGCCTGGAATGTGATCTTTGGCTACTTTCGCACCCAGGATACGCTGTGTTAAAAGTTGGGGGCCGCCCCTTCTTCTCCAATAGGTCCTTTCATTCTTGTCCTCCAGCCTAGGGCGAGACATCTCTGGCACATTTCGTTGCCAGTTGGTGCGCAAAGGAACCAGATTTGTCTTTATGGCAACTCTGGGTGTCCGACTTAGCGCTTCGCTTCCTCTTTCCCATTTTAGGCTCAGTCAGACACCGAGGCCCTGGCAGGCGCTCTCGACAAGGACGAAGGTCGAGCCTCCCCATGTACACCCAGCACACCGTCTGTCTGCTCGCCACCTTCTGCCGCCTCTTCCGTACCGTCTGCAGGCAAGAATATTTGCTCCAGTTGCGGTCTCGAGATTCTGGACCGGTATCTGCTCAAGGTGAGTCAAGATAGGTGTTGCCTACACATCGGCGAGCGTGAACTGTAGCAAAGTCCTGAGGACTGTAGGGAAGCAACGCCCTTGCCAGGCCCATTTTATTTGGCGTCCTAGTTCAGCAGCTGATGGATTGCGCAGCTTTGGTCTCAAGTGTGGGAGGTCTCCTTTTGCCCTGAGTTTCAACTAGAAAATAGGAAGAGTGTATTTCAATTTCCTTGAGCCTCCGTATTATAGAAGAAAACTGGGAAAGCCATACGCCCCTTCTGAGCTTCGGTGTCTCTCTCTGTAAATGAGAATGGGGAGGCTGGGGGCGGGAGTGAAAGAGGCCCGCGCTGAGCCGACCCCCCCCTCCACCCCCTCCCCAGGTCAACAACCTCATCTGGCACGTGCGGTGCCTCGAGTGCTCCGTGTGTCGCACATCGCTGAGGCAGCAGAATAGCTGCTACATCAAGAACAAGGAAATCTACTGCAAGATGGACTACTTCAGGTAGGCTGCGGCGGTTGGGCCAGGAAGTGCTGGTGCACGCAGATCTTGCATAGGCGTATCGAGGCCACTAGTGTGACCTGTGTTCTCCGATTCCTGAGCACTGCCATCCCAAGTGCACTACGTGGCTGGGGCACTAGCCCAGCCCTCCTGCTCTGCACGTCTGCTTAAACAGAAGGCTCCAGATAAAGAGCCAATACCAGCATGCATTCGGGTGGGCGATCTGTCTCGGGTTCCTACAGTCTGACGGGCCCGGGTTGCGGTTCTGGCTCGGTCTGTGGTCTTTTCAGAGTCTCATGTTCCAGCTGTGATTTGTCGAGCTTTGGCGTCCATGGTTCTGGCCGGGATCGGTCCGGCTCTTAGCCGTCGTCCGTCTGCATCTCTAGCTTTAGTTACAACTTGAAAGCAAGTTGTGTCGTGGCCTGTCTTGGGCAGGATCCTAAGTTAGGCTCAGGACTCTTGTTTTAGCTTTGCTTGGCTCTCAGTTTTGGGCTTGTATCTGCTCCAGCCCCAAGCGCCAACGCCACATCTCCAACCCTAGCCCAGCTCCTTGGCACTTAGTCTTAGGCACCAACCTCGATATCTGCCTCCGCCTCAACTCATGCGGTGATCCGCTTTTTTAATCTGGCGTCATGACTAGGTCCCAGATTCCTGTTCCCTTCACTGCTCGACCATCGTTTCTGTCCAGGCTTCAGCCCTGCCTAGGTTTAGGTTCTAGCTCTGGGCCTCCAGACCCGCTCTCGCTTTCAGAGCGTGGCGTTGCAATATATCTGGCTACACTCTGTGCTGCTGCAGTGCCGAAAGCATGTTCCCTAGCGGCTTATGATCCATCCTTGCTGGTTGCACGGTCCCGCCCGGCGTTGGCCTTTCAAACTCTTGCAGGCTCCTAGTTTGGAGGCACACAGCAGGCGCCTGCTGACCAGGCCACGGGGTCGAGGTCACAGCAGTGCCCAGGGGCACGATGAAGGATTTGCCAGATCTAGGCAGGAAGCAGAGAATGTGCTGGAGAATGATGTGTAATTGGTTCCTCGGAGCAACGCCTTCTTTCAAATGCTTTCTCCGGAAGTGGATAAAGCTGCTCTATGATATACATTCCCCTACACACACACAGACATACAGACACACAAACACACACACAGACAGACACACACACCCTTCTCTTTCAAGAGAAGTCCTGATTCAGTCTTCCAGGGAAGACCTGGATCCCAGAAAGCTTGTAAGTCGGGGACTGTGGTGGGTGGCCACCCTCAGACTCTCTGAACCTCCAGAGACCTGGAAAGAAGTCCTTGAACCTAGGGGGGAAGTTAGCAGCATGTGGGACTGCAGTTCTCCAAGAAACCATGAGAAGCAGCCTTTTCCTTCATGTTGTGGGTGAGGGTGCTCTGCCTGCCTGTCCTAGGACCGGGTGCAGGGAGTCTGTATGGTCTGGAATCTGCAGTGATGCTGAAGATATGTCATTGAGCAGGGTCAGGGCATATGGACAGTGGGTATGCTCTGTTACAGAAAAACGTGTGCCTTGCTGTTCACATGTGAGCCATGAGAACATAGGTCCTGCATGTGACTATGGAAACTTTGTGCATGCCCCGCCCCCGTGGTTTGCGAGGTGCTCAGGACAGGGAGCACATCGGGATTGGGATGTGGGAGGGCAAGTTGGGGTAAGAGGAATGGGACTTCATTCTCCCCCAGGGGTAAGGGTGTGGTATGAATGCAGAGCTTTCAACCGACCACTGCTGTGCACATATGCCTTGTGTGGTGTGGAACAAAAGGATGAGCTCCCCTCCATTTGATGTTTTATTGATTTAGTTTAGACAGAAAATGTCTATTACAGCTGTTTTCTAGTCACCTTCTGCACAAGGCCTAACTCCTATTAGGGAGAAGGGAGACAACTATCAGGAATCCCTTTGAACAAGTCAGCTACCAGGGAGCTCAAGAACCCACCAAGCTAATGTCTAGGCCTTCCATTATAGAATAAGGCCGGGCAGGTGCCTTCTTCTGGCTCTTCTGATGACAAGGGCCGGGGTAACCTTACCAACCTTATCCTGTGTCGGAATTCCTTCCCATTATCTCCATGGTGACTTGAGACTCCTTGGATATCATGCTTTCCAAAAGCTTGAAGGGCTAGCCAAAACTAGGCTCTTGATTCCATCATTTATAGCCCCCACCAATCCCCGGTCCACTGCACTGGTGTGGTGGATGGCTTGTGCAGCCAGCCTGATCAGAGGCAGGAAACAGAGCTCCGTGAGGCTAATTATGACCTTGGGCAAGTCACAGCATCTCTGCTCTGTTCCTTTCCAAAAAGACAGTCTCCTGGACCAAGGAGGCCACCAAGAGGGAGCAGTCTCCATAAAGGCTGATAAATGACAGTGAATATGAATGCTTCAGTTATAGCCATTATGGCCGTTGGCAGGCTGGATACCAGTCTTGAACCTGTGTTGGCATTTCCCCAGGCAGCCAGAAGAGTTGGACCTGCCTGTCCAGCTGGCCATTTCTGGGAAGAGGTTCTGACTGATAACCCTTTTCCAATGACAGGCGATCTCAAAACAAAACCAGATCCTAAGTTAAGAAAATAACGTGAATAAAGCTCACTTTGCCCAAAAGCGAGGGAAGAGCTGGGAATTTTCTGATCCCTCCTCTCCCTGACAGTCTCCATACAGGCACAAGTCATCTCTGGCAGCCTCACTAGTAACACAAATAATAAAACCCAGGACAGGGAGAGAAAAGGCCTGTAGAGCACCAGGAAAGGACTATTGTCTGATTGAGCAGCAACATAGACTCTTCCCAGAGAGTTGAATAATGGTGTGTGGGAGGCAGAATTCCCGCTCAAGAACTGGGGCTAAGAGAAGGCCAGGCATGCTACCCCAGGCCTCTGTTTCCTGAACCAGGGTCAAGGGTCTGATGGGGTGTGGACTGAAGTATTCTGCCAAAGGGAGGCATGAGCTTCCAAGAGGGTAGAGGAGAGCGGTGAGTAAGAGCTTGCCCAGGGCCTCAAGGAGTGGACATTTTGGGCTCCCAAGAGCATCTAACCTCTGACCTTGTTGTCCCCACAAAAGGGTTTTATTGCAGATTCTATCTCCTCTGTTCCCCTTCCCCAACAGTATCTCTTCAGTCTCCATTGGCAGAGTGGGGTGTTGATGGCTCAGAAATTAGATAGAGGTTGGGAAGAAACTCCAAGTTCAGCAGGGAGGGAAGTTGCAAAGCATGGGGGAATTATGGAGTCTGCTGCTGCTGCTTTGAATTGATTTCACTTGTGGGGGGCAGTTGGTTTCCCCCATTACGTGCCCTGGGCCTCAGTTTTTCCAATAGTTTCTCCAGAGAACTCACCAGCCATTGTGAGTTCAACTTGATTCTCCACTTCCCTACTACTCTTGGCAAGATCACCAACAAGGAAGTGAGGAAGTGGGGTTTGCTTTAATTTCTGTACTTTTTTGGTGGTGGTGGGGGCTTGAAACTATCCCCCATGCATGTGATTCCCCCTACACACATGCACACACACACACACACACACACACACGAACTGAAGAAGATTTTGGTGTATGTGTGTGTAGAGGGGTCTCACGGTCCTTTTTTGAAGCATTCATTTCTCCATTGCCATCAACAAACACAGCCCACTGCAGCTAAGTGTGCCTACCTGCAGCTGTTGCCCTGTGTTCTGCTTGCCCTCGAAGCTCCTGTAGTCTCCTAGAACATTGTGCCCATTTGAGGCAAAGAAGACCCATGTGCTAGGAGAAAAGCCCGGGGTCATCCAATGATTGGGAGCACAGAGTGAGGCTACCTAACATCTTATCCGCTGTATTCTGTATCTCATTTAATCATGTGATCCACCCTGTATGATACATTATGAGAGGGGAAACTAAAGCTCTGAGGAATAAGGTAGGCTCACTAATAAGTAGTAATGCTCAGAGTAAGCACCATAGCCACCTGGCTCTAAAACTTCTTCCTCTAAGTGCCCCTATGCCTCTTCGACAGTCAAGATACAGCTGCCACTGTCTGCAATTGTGAGGCACATAGACCGGCAAAGACCTCTCTCTGCTATCGCCATGATTCTCGTCCAATTTTCCCTGTATGCTTGCATGGCCCCAGGGGCAGAACAGAAGTAATCTTTTCAGAAGTTGATAACTAGCAACTTTCCTGAGACCAAGGACCCTGGCCCTTATCCCTTTTCTCTTTGACAACGGGAATGGGAAACAGAGCGTTATAGGGGTGCAGTTGAGAGCCTTATAGTTCCAGGGCTAACTGAAGTTCCTGTTCTCTGCTTGGCTTACAACTCTTGGGGGTGGGAGGAGGCAGTCTTCTCTGGTTTTCCACCTTGAGTCCAAGCTCTGTATCTGGACTTCAGCCCCTTTCCTCAAAGCTAGGGTCCCAGGGGAGGCTAAGAGCCTGGCTCCAGCCCCTCACCCCGTGCAGAGAGGCCCAGCAGCAACCAGCTGTTGGGGGACAGATGTTGGGGGGGTGGAGAGAGCAGGGAAAGAAGGAGCCTCAGGCCAGGACCTCCAGTCAGGCTTAGGCTGCTGTTTAACCTTTTAATTGCTGGTTCTACAACCCTTTTCTTTTTAAAGGTTTTGATAGAAAGGAGGAAGCGGGGAGGGAAGAAGGGATTCACTTCTAATTCTCCCTGTTTACCTCGAGAAATCTACGGCTCTCTGTCTTAAACGTCTAAAACCCAAAATAAGTGATCTCCAGTTTCTTTCCGTCTTAAATGTAGGAGACCCCACCCTGAGCTTCATTTCCCCACGTAGGAACGAGCGATTTAGTAGGCGGGGGGAAGAGATTCCAAAGGGCTGGGGGCGGGGGTTAGATGCTCGTTCACCCAACAAATATTACGAGCATCTTCTATGTGTCCAGGGGAAGTAGATCTAGAAAATTGGAAAATGAGCCTGACCTGGTCAAGGGTGAAGTTCCGCCTACAAAACCGGCTAACCGGATTTCTGCTTCCCACTGTGGTGAGAGGGCTTGTTGGTATTCCTTTACGGTTGCTAGGATTTGCAGCCTCTGTCGGGCACCTCTCCACCCTGAAAACTCAAGGCCCTTTCCGTCTCCGCGTTGGGACCCTGGTGGGGAAGCGCAAGAAATTCAGATCTCACAGTGTGGGTGAGAGTGTCAGTAGAATCATCCCCCAAACCCTTAGGCAATCCCTCCACAGCTCCCAAGCATCCCTTTCTTGAAGTTTCGTTGTCTCCGCGTGACGCTGATTTTCGATACTTCCGGAATAAAACGGCTGGATTCTGTCTCAAAGCAGAAATTTGTCAGTTTGTCAGACTTGGATCGTAGCTTCCCTTCGCTCTTTCTTGAGGAGACTTTGTATCTCGGGACACAATGCATCCAAACACTGGCAATAACCCTGCCACCATTTCTCCATTTCTCCATTCTAATTGGAGGAGGATGGTTTGGTTAACTGTGCCAATTTGTGGCATTTCAGTTTAGGGCTGAAGACAGCATTTGAGGTGATGTGCAGAGGGTGTGAGCGTTGCTGGCGAGTGGGTTACTGGCGGCACTTACCCCCGGAGGGAGGGGAAGAGAGTACTATGACCTATCTCTGTAGGTACCAAAGTGATTCCCGGGAGACTGGGACCAGGATCCCATGGAGTCAAGTGTGGGGATAGCGCGCACGCTGGGTACAGAGGACCCCTGCTCGCTGCTCGGATTGTCAGCCCTTGCCTACTCTGCCTTTCCTTCGTCTCCTATTGGCACTTCTCAGAATTTACTTCAGGAGTGGGCCAGCATTAGACCAAGGCCAATACTGTCCCCCTCTGGGATGCCAGGTGTCCTCATTTCCATTCCTGCTACTCCTAAGCGGTTCTAAGTCCTTCAGCACTTTGAGGGGACCTCAGCTCCCACCATGAACTCTGTGTTGTGTGGATTAAGTCAACTGCGGTTTTTGAATCTCTGACTCCAGGTGTGATAAATAAGTTTTGGAGTCTGTACTTCACTGGTTCCAGCAAAGATGATGGAGTGCACTGAGCTGGGAGGGGTGTGCTTAACAGGAAGAAAAAGCTTTGGGAAAGGCTGGTTGTTCCATCATCCCAAAGTACAAACATTAAAGCCTGCCTCCCATGGGTGGCCAAAAAGTGGTTTCATTGGGGCTACCACCAGCAGGACTGAGGGTGGGATATTGGCAAAGTCTCCATTTTCTGAGGGATTAGGAATAGAGACCACAAACTGTTCTAGACTCCTCCACAGGGAAGCCATGATTTCTGAGGGCACGGAAAAAAATCTACTTGGGTGGGGTAGGTGTTTGATTAGGCAAAGGGCTGAAGCTCAGCCTAAGCAAACCTAGAGGCAGGCGTGGGCAGCGTCCCTGGACTCCCTTTGTACAAGAGATTAATGTTGTGGAGTTTGTGTGAGAGTCAGAGGTGATGAATACGCTGCATCCCAGCATTCCCAACAGCCAATAACTTGAATTTGCCAAAACAGGCAATACCACGGTGTAACTGGAGTGAATTGTGCTGGGCTGTTTATCCACACACAGTAGTGTGAGTGTGCTTTCCAGAGGAAAGGTGCTGGCCTTGGAGACAGAAACATAAATCCTTTGGGTATACTTAACCCATCTCCAAGAACGCCAAGGACAAAAGGGGCAAGCCAAAGATTCAGATACTTAAAGAACAGTGTGATCAGTGCTGGTAGGGTGAGCAACAGTGGTAGACTCTGGGGGAAGGCATGGGCAGGGAAGGAATAACCTGCAAAGGCCTGGGGCTGGGAAAATGTTGGGGGTGGAGAGAACAACAAAGGACTGAAAATGATCTTCCACTGTGGGTGGGAGATACTGAAGATTAGGAAAGAGGTGGGCCCCAGGAGGATGCGGTCTGTTGGGTTTTGTAAATCTGAAGCATCTTGGACTAGACCCTACGGATAGCATGGAGCCACCAGAGACTATGAGCAGGTCGGGGACAGGATTCTGTGTTTATGCTAAAATGTTAGCTGCAGACTGCAGTGTGGATGATACATTGACACCAATCCTGGAAAGTAGGAGCTGAGTGCAGATGGGGCAGAGAGAAGAGCCTGACCGGGACCAGGACAGGAAAGGCTATCGTGGGGGCGGGTGAGAATGTCCGATATCCACGATATCCACGCTGGGGGGCTGGGTGATTGGTGGTCCTGCTTCCTGGATAGAGTGTGCACTGGAGGAGACAGGCTTAAGCAGGTGAGGTAGCACTTTAAGGAACTCCCAGCCTGGGATCCAGGCTGTAGCAACCTAAAAGCCCCCTTGCAAATAGCAAAGAAAGAAGGGGAAGGGACAAACAGACACGCAGAATGAAAAGAAGACATAAGGAACAAGCGAACATTTGATCTAGACTTTTTTTTTTTTCAATTAGTATTAGGATGTCGTGGGCTCCAGAGTTCGGGACTGCTTGGGTTGACTGCAAGGCACTAAACTCATAGTAGCAGTCATTGTTATGGTCATCTTCATAGCTCAGATCAAGGAAAATAAGAAGTAAAAGCAATTCAATGATCTGTGGGGTCACAAAGTCAGTGAGTGCATGCAGGTGTATCCTGAGGAAAGCTTCCTCTTTGGAGTCAGGCCTGCTGGGGTCCCTTCCTTGTGAGATGGGACTCAGCCTGTCCTAGGTCCTAGATTCCTGATCTCCTCCTCTGCAAAATGAGAACTGAGACTAAAGTCTGTGAAGGATTAGAATCTTGCAAGGCAGGCAATGCTCACAACTTTCCCTGTTTTGTACTGTAGTGTTTTCCTAACGCTCATGGAATATCATAATGAACAAATATACAAATGTTAAGTGGTTGTTGTAGAATATTTGAAAGACTTGGTAAAGCAAGAAGAAAATAAAAATCTCGCTCTCAATCATCTTGGTGAAACTTGGATGCACGGGAGTAATGGATTCAAGTGTAGGGACTTGCCATGTGAACCCAGGGCAGTGAGTGCCCTGAGCGATAGAGTGGGAGACTTTCTGAACTTTGTCCCCCTTTGTCCCGTAGCCGATTTGGAACCAAGTGCGCCCGATGCGGCAGACAAATCTATGCCAGTGACTGGGTGCGGCGGGCTCGCGGCAACGCCTACCACCTGGCCTGCTTCGCCTGCTTCTCCTGCAAGCGCCAGCTGTCCACCGGAGAGGAATTCGGCCTGGTTGAGGAGAAGGTGCTTTGCCGCATCCATTACGACACCATGATCGAGAACCTCAAGAGGGCCGCGGAGAATGGTACCCAACCCGTCCTACCCAGCACCTAGTCCCAGCCTTTCCCACCATCCCTAGCACCTAGGTATGGTCCGCACAGTTGTACCCGCTGAGCGGTCCTTGAAATATCTGAAAGTGGACTGGGGGTCGGGCGCGGGGAGGTTACACGTGGAGCATGCTCTCTGGCTCCATCATTTGTGTGGTCTCTTCTGGTCCTTGCACGGCGGCAGCCTACAAGCTCGTTGGCCTGTGGAGCACCCTACCCCACCTGCCAGCTATCTGGGCAGTCCTTTTCACTTCCTTATGGTTCACACAAAGCCAGAGGCTAAGGGTGGCTCATCCTGGATCAGGGATTCTGAATATAAAGGTTTCAAAGGGACCTGTGGAGACAAGGCTCCACCATACAATGCCAACAGCTGAGGTTTTCCTTTTTCTCTAAGGGATTCTTCCTGTCCTACATCTGTGCAAGATATCTAGATGATGGTCTAGAATGTTCCTTGAATCTCCTCTGGCTCTGACATTATGACCTTTTCCACGACAGATATCTCAGGATCAGGGTGAAAATCTTCCAGCATGCAAGGGGGGTTGGGGTGATGTATAAGGGGAGGTGGGGGACCCTAGTGGATCTATGGACAGAAGCAGCATAGTTCTGCTCTCAATGCAGCTGGCTGTGTAAGTCCTTACAACACTTTTAGGAGCTTTGTGCTATTTGTAGCTAGGAAAGAGGCAGAGGTTATTTGCAGCATGTGCCTTACCAAAGGTTATGTCTAGGAGGTCTGCTAGGGCCCTAAAGCCCGATTTTTTAACTGTCATAACACAGCACACTACACTCTGATACTTCATCCCTATGCTCCAGAACCCCCTTCAACAGCCAGGAGACTCCTGAGATGTGCTTGTCTCTGTGAGTTTCATTTTTCCCATCTGAAAAAAATAGGTACAGTAACCCTTAAGCTGTTTGATTTTCTTGGAATATTAATATTGCACAGCTCCTCTCAAGAAGCATGGACTTCCCTACCTCAATGTCTGGGTACCAGTGGAGGGCTAGTCAGGGCCAACAGTGTGTTACTGGCCGTGGCCTCGCCCTAGGTGATCACTTTCTCCTGCTAGGATCAGTAGCTAAATGGGGAGCAATTGAACTTGGGGCACATTGAAGTTTCCTGTAGCGCTGGACAAGTCGGCAGTGGAGCTGGGTTGGGAGTCAGCTTCCTCTACATCATGGTTAATCAGTAAACCACAGGCCTGTAAACCACTCCTGGACCACCCAGGGGATGGACATCCTACGCGGGACAGCTTGAACACTTGGGGCTTCTGGTCACTGACCATCAGCGTTAACCATTGCTTTTAAACAAAACAACACACACATTCATTATAGAAAAATGAGGAGAGGTGGTTCAGAAAACTTTGAGATGTCGTTACTCCCTGTTTACATTCCCATTTTTTTTTCTTTGTACATATATTTTTCCCCTTCTGCATAGTTCTTTCCCCCATTAAAATGTTACAACAAACTGTGAGCAGAGGTTATCCCTGAGTGGCAGAGTCACTGGTAACTTTCCCCTTCTTAGTGCTTGCCAGAGTTTTGGGCTTTTGATAAGAACAGTGTATTATTTTTGTATTCAGAAAAATGAAGTATTAAAATGGGAATGTATCTGCTGGTTTACAATCATAGCTGCAAAAGTTCTATAAAAACAGACAGTACCTAAGATATATCCTAGTTAGTAAACCATACTTTGGAGAAGGTAAAATTTGATTCTTTTAAATACTTCAAAAGTTGCTGGGCATGGTGGCACACACTCCCAGCACTCAGGAGACAGAGGCAGGTGGATCTACATGAGTTAGAGACCAGCCTGGTCTATGGAGAGAGTTCCAGGACAGCCAGGGCTACACAGAGAAACTCTGTTTCCAAACACCAATAGTAATAAATAAATGAAATAAAGAAAAAAAGAAAAGAAAAAGGCACTGAAATACCGAAAGTAAAAAGTCACACAGTGATACTCTTGGAGGTAGGCCACTGGAACTACTGGAACCTTCCTACCTCTTCCCATTGTTTCTGAGAAATTGGGATTATAATTTCTGCAACCGCATGCTTTTGTTTTTATCTCCACCTTGGTTTTCCTCCAATTTACCTAGGAGGGACGTTAGGGTCAGACAGGCTCCAGATCTGAGACAGAGAATCTGGGGTTCCCACCCAGGAGCTTTCTTCTTTCTGAGCCTTAGTTAGTTTCCTCTCTTTAAAAAAAAAAAAAAAAAAAAAAAAGGCGATAGTATGGAGAGGAGCTCTAGGCTCGGGGACTATGACCTTGAGATCCTAGCTCCCAGCCACCTCGCTCCTGACCCTTCCAGGGACAAGCTCCCCCCCACCCGGTCCTTTCCAGGCTGCCACTAGAAGAGATGGGGACGCGTGGTCAGCCGCTTCTGTCGCCCCCCAGGGAACGGTCTCACGTTGGAGGGGGCAGTGCCCTCGGAACAGGACAGTCAGCCCAAGCCGGCCAAGCGCGCGCGGACGTCTTTCACAGCAGAGCAATTGCAGGTACGCAACCCCGACCCTTCCGCTAGCCCGGAGACGAGTGGGCGGGGCCTCGGAGTGGGCGTGGCTGTGTGGGACTTGCGACTCCACCGCCAAGTGCGGGGACCCGCGGGAGGCCGCGACGGCAGAATTGCCTGGGGCGTGGCCTCGGGCCCCGAGCCTCTGATTGGGCGGAGGTCTCAGGGCCCTCGTGTGCTCCGCAGGTTATGCAGGCTCAGTTCGCGCAGGACAACAACCCCGACGCGCAGACGCTGCAGAAACTGGCGGACATGACGGGCCTCAGCCGCAGGGTCATCCAGGTGGGGCTCCGGGGTCTCGGCCTTCAGGTCTGGGGCGGGCCTCGGGGCGAGCGCTGGAGCTCGTAGCGGAGGGTCGCGGGTGCACGTGGCCGACCCTCTCCAGTGTGGCCTAGGTCCCCTGGCGGCACGGCTGACCCTTTCCCGCGATTGCTGAGACTGCGGAGGCTGTCGTTCCAGGTGTGGTTTCAGAACTGCCGAGCGCGTCATAAAAAACATACACCGCAGCACCCGGTGCCGCCCTCAGGGGCGCCCCCATCCCGCCTCCCTTCCGCCCTGTCCGACGACATCCACTACTCTCCGTTCAGCAGCCCCGAGCGGGCGCGAATGGTCACCCTGCACGGCTACATCGAGAGTAAGTGACAGCGATTCTGGGGCCGCCAGGCCTGTGGGGAAGGGGACGCTGAGAAGTGCTCCTCGGTTTTTAGACGGGGTGGGGGGATCTGAAGAAGATTAGTGGATGAAGATGGGGGGGTCAATTTCCCTCCCTTCCTTAGTGGGTCCGGCCCTTGGTAGAGGGAACAAATAGTAAAACTTCAAGCAGCCACTGTGTATGTGCTTGGGATGGGGCAGGAACCTGCTTCTGATGGGCAAGACAGCCTATATATAGGAAAGACGCCAGGTGGGAGTGTGTGGGGATGCAGGAGCCAGAGGAGCATTGCCTCTAAGCAAGCTGAGCTCCGAAGGATGGGCTAGACTTACTGAGGAACATACAATGGGGAACTCAAAGTGGGCAAACCCTGGCTCAAAGGGCATCCTGGCATGGGTGCATTTGGGGAGCAGAGGCCAGGATGGCATGACCACCCAGGGCTGTGAGGCCTTTGGACAAGTCGCAGACTCTCCTCCAACCTTTCCGTTTCCTCATCTGTGAACTAGAATAGCGATAATGCCTGTCAAGGATATTGAGAATTGAGTGACATGGGCATCCAACAAATGTGTACTCTGAGTGCCTCCTGTGTTCTTAGCACTGAGATAGAAGAGTCAGTAAGTAGGTCAGAATTGCATTGCTCCTGGGACTCGGACAAATATCTCCATCTCAGTCTGTCCCTCTCTTTCTCCTCCCTCCTTCCTGGAGTCCATGTGGGCAGGATAGCAAGTGGTCCCAATAGAGACAGTAAGGGGTAGGATGTGGGTGGGCGGTGAGCACTAGAGAGTGGGTGGGTCATGGCAAAATGATCTTGAAGCAGTCAGTGAATCTGCTACTGAGCAGGTGCTTATTACAGAGTCTCTTTCCCTTTGGGGTCGTTTCCTCAAGCTGGGTATGACAAAAAAAAAAGTCATACACACACATACTCTCAAGCAATCATCTGTGAACTCCAACTAAAAGGGGAAAGAAGGGACCAAACTCTTGCTTAGAGAGCACCTGCCTTGTGCCCGAGGAGATGCCTTCCAAGGCTCTGAACGTCATTGGTCATTCTTCCATTACACACTAGGAAACTAAAGGGGCCACTGTTGAATGACTGAGTGTGGACTGTGGTGTTGTAACTGCCTGGGATCAAGCTACAAAGCTCCTTCCTAGCTTGGGGAAACTGGGCAAATTTCTTAGCTTCCTGGATTGCTAACCAGTGTCCTCATTTGTTAAAACAGGGACCGTGAGAGTAGCTCCCCTCAAAGCAGTACTGTGAGCAACACTGAGATAACTGACTTAAAGGCCCCATTAAGCACGTACAGGCTAAACATCAGCTGCTTTGGGATGCAAGGGGCAGAGCCCTGTATGCTGTGCCAGGCTGCCAGCTGGCACTGTCTCTAGACAGTTCCATTTCTGAACCTTCTCACCAGGAGGGACACTTTCTCCCTTTTGTTTCTAAACAATGACTTAATGTCCAGCCTGAATAACACCTATTAAACACTTGCTGAAGGTGCCAAAGACTAGGGACTCTCTTGGCAGCCAGCTAACACGTGGTGTAGAGTGGTAATGAGTCTAGGTGACTTCTGTCGAGAGTGGATCAGGACTCTGTTCATGTATTCTGCAGATCAAGCCTAGATTTGTCTTTGATTCTGGAGTCAGGACATGCACACCTCTGCTGCGTGACTAAAGGACAACCTAGCCGTTTGCTTTGCTGTGAACTGAAGACAAGAAGTCTTGGATTTTATAAAATGTTAAGGCTGTGAACTTAGTTAGGGTTTAGAAGTGAACCCAAGCAGGGGTGGGCGGGGTGCCATTCCATTTACAGTCAACTAAATTCAGTGCTTAGAATCTAATTTAAAATAATTAAAAAAAAAAACCTTTGGAACCAGATTCCAGAAAATGTACAGACACAGTTTTTGAGTAATTTGAAGCTGTTCAGAAATGTCTTGTAAGAATTAAATAGGATTGCCTTACCCTGCAGAGGAGAGAATTGTGTCTCGGGCATAGCAACTTGGCCCAACTGACTTATCACTTGCAAGTGTCTGTTTAGGCTTCATTGTGAGCAGGCAGGGCAGTCTGGAGAAGAGACAGGCAAATGAATGCTTACCCATAGTGGTAAGCAGGCTGAAATGCGTGAGAGATTTGGAACAGAACCAATAATAAACTTTTCTCAACAGTTTTAGATGTTGGAACAGGGTACAGAAGTTCAGATAACAAACATTTAAAGAGTACCTTGCAGGCACTGGAGAGATCACTCAGCAGTTGACCGTACCGACTGCTCTTTAGGAGGATGGGGACACCAGCTGGAGAAGGCTCGGGATTTGCGAGCACTGGCTGCTCTTCCAGAAGACCCTAGTTCAATTCTCCAGCACCCACATGGCAACTCACAACTGTCTGTAACCCCAAGATCTGACACCCTCACACAGACATACTTACAGGCAAAACAGCAGTGCAGATAAAATAAAAATAAATAAATTTTTAAAAAAGAGGATAAGGGTTTGATTTCCAAAACTCACAGCAGCTCAGTAACTCCATTTCCTCCATGGGCACAAGCACATGCATGTAGAGCACAGACATACATGCAGGCCAGGCACACATATACATAAGCTAAAATAAGAAAAGAGTGCCTTGTATATTCTATGCCTCATCCTAGGTACCTGAAAGTCAGTAAGATCAGCCGTGCATGAGGGAATGTCATAGAGACTGCATTTTAGTTGATGAAGAGACAATATTAAATAAACAATGAAATTATATGTAAGTTGGGTGACTAGGGCTAGTCAAGACAAAATGAAGTGCAGTCAAGATTAAAAAAAATGAAGGACGGGCCTGTTTGTTGGGCTGCAGTTATAAGCAGAGCGGTGAGGACAGAATCTCCTAGGGTGCAGAATCTCCTAAACTGCCTGTGTTGGTGCTCTGGAAATCAGAATGTGTGGGTGAGGATCTGAACAGATGGGCACATCCTTCTTTGCAGGAGGGCCTCAGTACATTTGTATAGGAATGTTAACTTACCAGTGAGCTGGGTTGTAGCACAGGATAGAGTCCTACACATACATAGCATTGCAGCCGACTCTTTTGGGATTGTTCCCAGAGCCACCCAGGTGGCAAGCCACAGAGCTAGAGCTCTGGGTTAATGGTCAGGCTTCAGCTTTCTGAGCACACAGCAGGCGGGGATCCTGTGTGGTGCCTGGGGAATGGGCTCCAAGGCATCCTCTCGTCCACAGGTCAGGTACAGTGCGGGCAGGTGCACTGCCGACTGCCTTACACCGCGCCCCCTGTCCACCTCAAAGCCGATATGGATGGGCCGCTCTCCAACCGGGGTGAGAAGGTAAATGGAGCCTGGCTGTTTCTGGTGGGTCAGAGCCTTCCTGCTGGGAATGGGTTTCTGGCAGTATCCCCTGTCACTGGATGGGTACCATGCCATGCTGTGGCAGATCACTCAGGCCCCCAGTGTGTCCCCAAGGCCGTCATCAGAGCAGCTTCTTGTGTGTTTCATGTGCCTGACTTCTCTGAGGTCATCCTTGTAACCCTGTCCCACCCACGGGCAGCGAAAACATCTTATTTACCTACTTTGAATTTACTCATGCTTGGAGGTTCTGGAGAGGGTTTCTGTCCTACACCGGTCCACTTCCCATGTCATATCCCGTTTTTCTATTTATTTCTGTCTGTTGGCAGTACCTGATTGTCTAGGGCCGGTGGGTTCCAGGAAGAGAAGCCCACATGTGACCCCGGATCCACTGGCAGGGCCTTCTCTGTGGTAGCGAAGCTTTGGTCACTCCAGGATTAATACTGAATTTAGTAAAGAGTGCACAGATGTCGCTCAGTCTCGTGGCTTGGTTTAATCTTGTCCACATGACAGGTGAAAGTAGCTAGGTCTACTTTAGATGTAACCAGCAGTGGGTAGGAACGTCATCTCTTCAGTTCTGATATACCACATAGTTAATCCTCAAAGCCATTGTCCCCAAGCTGCTCCTTATTTCAGATGTGGAGAGCCAGAGGCCCAGAGCCTGGGTGAGGGAAAAGTGGTGAGAAACAAAGCCCTAAGGATGCTAGGTGGGGGCCTTGGACTTTACCAGGCATCTGGGTGATGGTGGTCCTCAGTGAAGCTGGGTAGGGTGATCATGGGGGAAGCAGAAAGCTCTTGGTGCGCCTTAGACTCCCAGAGGCAGCTTGGGAAGGTGCTGATCCTCAAGCCAGGGGTAATGAGGAGCTGGAGGCCAGCGTGAGTGTCGCCCGGCTCTTGTAATTCTGATGGGGAAGAGGACACTACTGAGGAAAGGCTTCCTCACTGCTCTCCAAAACCTGCTGTGCACGGGGCTTCCTCGGTGGGGGGCGCGGGGGGGGGGGGCTGGAGGGGGGGGGTCCGGAGGGCCCAGCAGGATGGTATAGTAGCATTGCCTGAGACTCTGGAGAGCAGGCTCCAGGAAGATGAAAGTTACTGACTGATGAGCTTAGCACTTTGTACCTTTATAAAGTTAGCACTTTATACACACTGGCTGACACCTCCCAGCTGCCTTTGGTGTGGGCATGGCTGTCTCTTTTTCTTTCTTTTTGGCGTTTTGTTTTTGTTTTTTGAGGCAGGGTTTCTTTGTGTAGCCTTGGTTTTTCTGGCACTCACTCCCTAGACCAGGCTGGCCTTGAACTCACTCACAGAGACCCACTTGACTCTCCCTCCTGAGTGCTGACTTGAACCTGGACTCGACACTGGGACTGCACAGGGCGAGCACATAACCTCTGCCCTCAAGGGCTCTGTGGTATAGATAGGTTTGGGGCAGTTACATTGTAGGGTGATGGAGCAGACAGAATGGGAGTCAAACGTGACCCCAGAAGATTCAGAAGAGGAAGTGAGTGACAAGCTCAAGGGGAGAGGCAGGGAAGAGAAGGGCATCCATGTCAAAAGAACAGCTGGTACAAAGGCATGGGGACGACAGAGCTAGAAGGACTGCGGCTGCTCAGTGTGGTTGAGGCCCAGGGAGGTAGGGGAACTGATAGAGGCCCAGTCCCTGGAGTGAAGGGTTTGAGTCAGGAGCTGCAGCAGTGCACAGGGTTGAGCTCAGAGGAAAGCCTTTGCTTCCCGGTTCAGTTTGAAAGATGAGCCAGGCTGGGTGATGGCAGCTTGGCTCTAGGTTCTTGGCCTCTGGGTTTGTTTGTTGAGCCAGAAACCCTCGCTCTGGGCTGTGTCCCCAGTTTTGTAGCCAGAAGCTCTGTGGTACAGTGTGTGTCCTTCCTTCATGACCTATTACCCTCTTGCTGTCAGGCCTGCTTGCCAGCTCCTAAGCACCTCTGTTAGCCACATCTGCTCATGCATGTGTGTGAAGTCTGCTGGCTACATGTGTAGGGCGGGACAGACCGACGACAATTTTAGCTTTATTCCAAGTCCTTCTGGGAAACCTATGAGGATACTCAGAGTCCCCTTGGTGCTAGTCCACTTGTTCACACTAGTTCTGGCAGCCAGGCAGTGGTGGCGCACACCTTTAATCCCAGCACTTGGGAGGCAGAGGCAAGTGAGTTCAAGACCAGCCTGGTCTACAGAGAGAGTTCCAGGATAGCTAGGGCTGCAAAGAGAAACCTTGTCTTGAAAACTAAAAGCCAAAAAAGAAAGAAAAAGAAAGAAGGACTAATGCTGGCCTGGCCAGTCCTGATCACTGGAGCACGGTGGAGCTTCCTATGTCCACAACATCATTTGGCCCCACATTACCTGTTAAGTTCTGAGAACTACATTTCTTCCTGGTCATATACCCTGATCCCATAGCTCTAGCACGTAAAAGGGTCTTAGAAGTCAGGGTTGGTTGGCTTCCATCAGGTGGAAGGAATGTAACCTGCATAGAAAGGTCTGACCAGAGTTATTTCCTAATAGGAGCTCAAAGCCAGGGGTCTGAAGTTCAGGCCCAGAGGGATGGGGTGTCCAGGGCCGGGTGAAGCATAGAGTACGAACTTCTGAAGTCAGGTGACCCAGAGTCCCAGATCTGCCACCTCCTCCCCAGAAGACCATGAAGTACAATTAGCTTCTTGCAACTTGAGTTTCTGCCTCTGCTTAATGGGGCTCTAATCATTTCTGCCATCCTACAATGCTGTAGAAACGGGAGGCAGTGTGTGTGACGAGCCCACACAAGTGCCTGGTGCACAGAAGGTACTCAGCAGCTCTTGCTTATAACATCTTCTCAGTGCTCCCCTACATATGGGAGATATGGATGCCTGAACCTCCACATGTATACCCATGATAAGGCTCAATTCATAGTTGGGCAAGTCAGAGATTAATAAAATGGCAAATAATAGAACAGTCACAATATGCTGGGTAACTGTGCTGCTTCGTTCCTGGGTCCAGACAAGAGCACACAGTGGCTCTCCGCTGCTGCCCTTGCTCAAGAGACATTGCCATCCCGATTTACACATGAGGAAACGGGCTAGGAGAAGGGAAGTGAGCTGCCCAAGGTCTCACAGGACGTAAACTGAGGGCTGGGGTTCAAGCTCAGGTCTAAGCTCTGGAGCCCCACCATTGTTCTCCAGGCCTTGAGGTTCCCTGGGCTGCCTGGTGGGAAACGCACCAACTCAGCCACTTGTGTTGCCCTTCTCTTGCAGGTCATCCTTTTTCAGTATTAACGCTACCGGCACTTGCGCATCTGTCCATGGGCACCGCACAGCTGCCCCTCAGCCGCTGAGATTCAGCATCCAGCTGTGGCCAGGGATCCACCACCTCTGCATACAGTCTCACCCACTGCCATCCTGCCCTCTGCCAGTGGTCACCCCAACCCAGACCTGGTCTTTCCCTCTTTGAGAAGGCAGGTTCCCTGAAATGTGGCACCAGCATGAAAACATCAGCCTGTCCTTCCTCATCAAACAGGAATCGTAGTTGACGTCGGCTCACAGCAGCAATGGCAAACTGAATCGCGAGTCACCAACAGCCTCCTACTTCACAGGTTTTCTCCCCACACACATATTGGCCTTTATTTACTACTTTCTTAGAACCATCTCTGAATTCTGAATAGCCAACAACCCCCAACATTATATACTCTGTTGCTTTTGTCTGGAAAACTCTACAGTGTTTGTGGGATGTCCCCAAAGGAAAGCTATGTTCTAATTTTATCATTTCCATCTGTCTGGTTATGTCAAGTTAACTCAGAAAAAGAAGAGATCCTGACCAACCCTGAGAGGCCCAATAGGGCGGAGATGGAGGCCTGCCCAGATGAAGAGGCAGAGGGGCAGGCAGGGGTGCGTGCCAGAGAACACCCCCCATTGGCTTGGAGGAGTGGGACTGGGTACACTGGACTTGGTGGGGCGCTGACCGTTTCATGGAGAGAAAAGAGCAAACTTGGGGAGGGGCCTCCCCTACCAGCTACACAGCAGGAGTCAAGGACAGTGTGTCCTCTGCATAATGGCACTGCTGAGTGTTTGGGTGGGCTGGCATCAAGGACCCTTGTTGACCACTTCTCAGTCGTGAGAGGAGGCCTGAGCCAGTCTTCTCTGGGGGTGGGGTGGGACCATTCATACAGATCAAGGAACAGAACCCAGTGAAATGGTGGTCCAAATATTAGTTCCGATTCATGCTGCAGTGAAGAGAGGTGCCCATGACCTCAGTGAGTAGCCAAGCCCAGGCTTTCAGCCGGCACCTCTGCAATTTCCCCACCAACTCTGAGCAGAGCCAGCTCCACCCACTCCTGAGAGCAGAGGCCAATTCCAAATAAAGGTCTCAGGGTACACAGGTTCCCTTATGTTTTCTGGGGTGCCCATTTGTCCCACACTTATCCTGTAATTATTCAACTACTTGGTGGCCTGATGCGCTTCTCACTAGAGGCTGCTAGCAGCATGTTTTCGCCAAAGTCCTCCTCCTTGCTTTGAGAAGGAGACTCCAGGACAGGGAAGGCAAGTTTCTAGAATGGATGCAGTTGCTGTCCTTACTTCACCCATGACAGACATCGCTAACTATCACAGCACTCTATCTCACGGAGTCTGGATAAGGTTTCAGAATCCCCATGCTTGAAATTAGCACTTGATGAGAAGGACTGTGCTATTTGCTGTGGGACCTGGAGGAGGGTTAGGCATGGGTGCCGCCCCGGAAGGGAACTTTCATCATTTCCCTTCCAAAATTGTCAGCTGACTGAGGACAAAGAGAAAGCACCTCCCAGAATGCCATGAGCGTGGTTCAGTTCAGAACTCCAGCAGTAGCCTGTGCCAGGCACTGACTCTAGCAGGAGGAACCTGGTCTGATCTGGCTTTGGGGAACCCAGATCTTTCCTCTGATTTTGCTCCTAATGATCAAAACCCCAATTGCAACCATGTGGGAAGTGATCAGCTGAACCCAGGTCACTCGTACCCACTCTGCCTTGAGCCTTCCCCCAGGGTCTAATTTTTGTGTGGATCACGTGGCAGTAGCATGTTGCAGTTCAAATGTCTCCACTACCCTGTTCAGAACAGCCTGGGAATGTACAGGCCGTCAAGGCTATTTATTTAAATACACACAAAAAAAGGGGGGAACACACAAACGGAAAAAATAGTAAGCACTTTTTTTTGTAAAACCAATGTCTGTTTTGTTACATACCTTTCATGTCGTGCTTTGTAAATGTCTTATTTGTGTAATAAATAAAGTTAATGCAAGTAGAAGTGCTGGCACTTAAATCCAGAATATGATGGGATTCCATTTCTTTCTTGCTCTTCGGTTAAGGATTTAGGTCTGAGCAGTGGACTATGCTGAGGCACGGTGACGGGTTTCTTCTCTAACATTGTATCATCCCGTGTATTGACTGCTTTGTGGGAAGCCAGGCTGGCTGTTGACCTCTGTTCTGCTCTCTGAATACCAACTGTCTGCTGTGTTCTGTGCTGCTCTGCCTCAGAGAAACCTCAGTCTGACCAGTGCTGTCCACAGACATTCCTCTCATATGCTAGGGAACTGAGGGGAGGCATTTGAGCTGGATCCAATCCAGTAAGATACACAGAATAAGTGAAACTGGAAAGTGTTGGGGAGGGCACGGAAGAAGAGACACAGGGATCCTCTGGGATGATGGCTCCAGCTTGAGCACAAGACTGACTCATGACGGCTTTGTCAGGTTCCAGGGCTACCACACATGCTGGACAGTGGTCTGGTGGTGGTCGGATTCTCTGGAAAATCTTGTTCAAGTCAAAGCCCCAGGCATAGAGAATCAAGCTGCCTATAGGGTATGGATGCTTTCCTTACCTCCTGGAGCCCTTGTGAGACAGGGCCTCTTGCTGAATGTGGAGCTCATCGATTTGGCTAGAGCCACTGGCCAGCAAGCCTCAGGATCCTCCTGTCTCCATGTCCCCAACACTGGAATGACAGGCACATACTACTGTGCCTGGTGTTTTACTTGGGTCCTAGGGACCACAGCTAAGGTGCTCGTGACTGTGTGGCAGCTGAACCATCTCCTCAGCCCTTTACCCCAACTCAGCCCTCCTCAACCCTCTGCACCCAACATTATTTCTGCCTCTCCAGTCTGTTTTAAATTCTATTTGGATATGACAGAAAATATACACTTTGTCTGTGTACACGAGTATATATGTATTTCTTTGCTAAGTGTACCTTCCGTTTTGAAGACCCAGCTTGAGAACTCCACCCTGTTAGTTTTCTAGGGGAGATGACTTCCCCAGGCCTGCTGCATGGAACAGCTAGCTGAGGGGACTGAACCCCCCTTGGCTGGTGGCTCTCCTTCAGGTCCTCTCTCAGTTCCTAGTTTGAGGGTTTTTTCCTTCCCCCTGCAGATCTCAGCAATCTATCCCTAACCTGATCTCCCTTCTGTCTCCACAGGGTAGCTTGGGTAAACCAGCGATCATAACCTGGGCTCTGAAGGGGGATCTCCTCTATGGACTAGTCATGCAAAAACACAGGATGCTTGGGGGCCCTTTGCTATTCCCTCTTCTGCACAGAGCTAACGAATGTGATCTCTGGGGGTGATGATATGCACAGAGCACAGATTTACTTTTCTATCTATTTTTTATATTGGTCCTCACTGTGTAACCTGGGTTGGCTCTTGAATGTGTGGTCCTTCTGCCTTACTCACCCAAGTGCTACGATACAGTGGCATGAATTGCTATTTCAGGTCAACATTGAACTCCATCGGGTGACACCTCTCGAACTGTCTCACTGTGGTGTTCTGTTGTTTTAAGCATTCTTTTAACTGTTTTATAGATGCTGGAAACTGAGGTTCAAAGAACTGACCTGCCCAGAGTTGCATGGTGGGTGGCTGTGACAGAACTGAGATTTGAATCCTGTATAGATGCCAAAGCACCTTGTGGATCCAGTGCCCAGAGGGGAAGGTGCCCCTGCTGAGACCTAGTGAGTCACCAGCCAGTCACATTTCTCTGAGCCACAGATTCCCCATCTGCAGAAGGGAGGTTTTTACCCCCTTAGCTGCTCATTTAGTTAGAAATCTGTCAGAAGATGAAGGTTCTTGAACATTCCATGTATAAGAAGTAATTGGGAATGCAATATCCACATATTCTGACAGGCAAGTCTGGGCTTGGGCCCAGTGCCACCAAGGTGATACTGAAGCAGGTGGAATGGGGATGTCTTTAAAGCCCTCACCCTCGGACAATGCAGTGCAGGAAACCTTTATTCTGAAACTTGAGCCGAAGCTAGAACAGCAGCCTGTATGTGGGCAGAGGGGATCTCTGGTGAAGCAGCTGAGGCTGAGGCATTCACAGCGTGGGTTTCTGTGCGGGGTTCTCTGCCCAGCCCTTGCGGCAGGTCCTGACGATCCATTCATGTTCGTCATCATCTGCAGGGAGAGAGGACAGTTACCCCTGTGCTCGCCAGGACCCTCAGGCCCTGGCCTGGGAGACCCCCAGGTGGGATCTTGGGGCCTGGGTGCCTTCCAGCACCAACTGTTGACTCTGAACGGCTGGAGCTGATCTTTGTGTAACTGTTATAGCATCCCTCAGCAATGCTCCTAGACTGGGAAAATGGACCACTAAGTTAGAGAAGAGTGTGTGGTTTGAGGACGGAGCTGATGAAGACAGCCCAAGAGTATTTGGCCACCCTGAGTTGATTTGATCCTGTTGGGTGGAATGGCAGCCTCACACTCAAACATGCACCTGCTGACAACCTACAAGCAGCAGCCTGCTTACACTGGGCCAGACTTCGGCAGAAGTGCTCGGAGACCGTGGGAGACACGGAGGGGACTGCTGGTGTCATCCTTTCAGAGACCGAATGCATCTGTCGCATGGCCTCCCCACAACTACATCTTTCCCACCACCGTGCAGATGGACAGGGGCTCCCAGGGGTCTGGCCACAGTGCCCAGCCTCCTGGTCAGCATGTGGGAGAGCCGGGAGGATCTCAGCCCATGGCTGACGCTTTTCCAAGCTTCACAATCGAGTGAGCACCGATCTTCAGTCCATAAGCAGCGCCCCCTCCCTTTCTGTATGGGACCCTCTGTGAATTTATCTGATTTTCTTTTTCTCCCTCTTTCTCTTTTAAACACACACCCAGTCCCTCCCCCAGCACAACAGGGACCCACTCTAATAGCAGGGCATGCACCCCTAAAAATGCATGCAGCTTTGTAAAATATGCCCTCTTGCTTTGTGTGCAAATGTGTTTTTAATTTACAGAAATGGCATTGTGCTGTGAGTTGCATTGTGTGGGACTTCTTTCGATCTGGGTCCGTTTCACTTTTCCTGTGGCCAAATGCACAGCTAGTTCTTTGCTTGTTACCACTGACTCGTGTTCCGTAGCTGGTTGCTCTCACGGCTGACTCTGTTCTCCAAGGGTTACCTCCAGCTTCCCAGAACCAGGGACACCAGGCAGAGTGGGACTTCTGCCTTTGTGGATACATGGGAGAACTTGCCTGGGTTTTGTTCTGAGAGAAGCACACATTTCACTCACCTGTACCCCCTACCACCTGCCTGTCCTTCCTGTCCATCCCTTTCCTCAGGATGTCTTCCTCTGGGCCACAGAAATAGAGGCATTTTCTCCCTACCTCTGCTTAACCCACTGCCTCCACCCATTCTCTTCAGGTGACAAACGCTGGAATCTAAGGACCAAGGGGACTCACTGAAAGCTGAAAAGCAGAAGGCTAGTAAAACTTCCTCCAACCCTTGCCCAGGGACACTCCCTAGAGTCACCAGGCCCACACTGGGAAGAAGTTCATGGATACCTGAATGTGTCACACAAGCCCTGCAGCTCATTAGGTCTCTGTAAGAATACAGCAGGGGTTGGGGAGATCATGTCCCAGAACTAAGGTTTTAGATCCCCAGCTTCTGGAATCTCAGCCAGGTTCATCTTGGCTGTAAGGCTAACTTATTGGTTGAAGCCTAACTTCTCACCCCAGGGCAAATTTGATGATGTGAGAGCCAAAGTTGCCTCTGCAAGAGCTACCTAGCCCCTGGTAGGTGACCCTCATGCTAGCCCCTACCTACCTTCAGTATTTCTCAATGTGACTCAAGAGAAAGGGCTTGCTAGTGAGAACATGTTCTGCCCTTGGGAGAATGACCAAGGTTCTGCCCTTGGGCCTCAGTTTCCCCTAGCAGGCTGCCTGAATGTCCTAGCTAAGGCTGGCAACCCAAGGGTGTGTGGTGGGGTGCTATGCTGATTTGTCAGCACACAAGGAGTTAACCGCTGGTGGAGCCCACTTTCGCCACACTGTGAGCAGCCTGGTTGATAATTACAGTTCTGAAGTCTCCAGGCTATTCGAATCAGTGCAGCTGCAGCCTCTTCAGCGGTAACCCCTGAAACCAGACAAACTGGGTGTATTGTGCTGAACCAGTCCTCAGGCCCCTCCCTGATGGTTACAAATTGACAGCAATGGACTTAACAGCCCTCTTCACTACTCGGTTTACTCTCTACCTGGCTGCACAGCCACCAATTTGAATCCCAGATGCCTTTCCTCGGGCAGCTGCTCCTCCACCCTCCCTCCACCTCCTCGGTTCCCCTGGCCCTGCCACGCCAGGGTGAGGCTGCCGGAGCACATTTCATCAATATTTAAAATGGAATTAAACCTGTAGCTTTGATTAATGCCTCCTGGAGCCCGAGAGTAGTGATTACTATTTTGCAAATTGCGATTGTTGGAATATGTTAATATGATTGTCTGAGAACATCTTCACCTTCTCGGGTAATTTTCCTCCTTTTTGGCAGGAGGGGAGGAGGAGGGGAAGAAAGCAAAAAAGATGGGGAAAACACCCCCACGAACTCCTTAATCAATTGTAAATGATCAGCCTTGGCAGAGTTGTTGGTGGTGCAAAGGGAAGTGGGGGCGGGAGGGAGACTTCTGGTTTGGTGCATTTAACATCATCCTAAGTTTTTGGATCTTGTCCTGGTGATGCCACTCTGAGACACCATCCTAAGGAAGCAATGTAGTAGTTGTCTCCATACTGTTTAGAATCGAGAGAACAGAAAACGATGTAGATTTCTAAATTAGGGAATGGTTACTTTGTTGTCTATTCATTCATTTAACAAATGATTTCTAAACACTGTCCATGCCAGCAACCTTCCAGCTTGGGGAGGAAGCAGTGGGCTCTCACTGTAAGCACGGGGAGGGGATATTTAGCAGCCAGAGAAAATGATAGTTGTGAAGTCGATATGGCAACACAGGAGAAATGCTTTTGATGAGATAATAAGCCAGAATAATAATATAATGCAACAAAACAAAACACCTCCCCACAACAAAAATCCATGAACTTTTATACAGACATCCCTGCTCCATGTAAAACTGTGGCTTGAAAAAAATTAAAAGTGATAAAACTATTTGGGGTAACTCTGGGAAGTGTGGTTTTCCTTCCTGTTTTTTGGTGTTCTCCAAATCTTCTTTCCTTAATGTAATCTGATCACAGAAAAATTTTTAAATAATCCTTGCTTTTTTTATCCTGCCCTGCAGTATAATGTCTTGGTGATTTTTATATGTTTTTTTCATTGAAATATAAGATTTTTAGGTTCCTAAAAACACTGTTTTTATACTTTAAAAGTAAAAATTCTAGCATAAAATATTGCAAAAATACACAAATATCTGAATAGATGCCTTGCAGAGTGACCATCTCCCAAAAGAAGGGAGAAGAAAACACACACACACATATACACACACAGTAACTTTGCAATGGAGAAACTGATCTCAGCTAGGACCAAGGTTCAGGACAGTGGCAAGCAAATTCCAGGGAACCTGTCTCCTGGTTCTGTTTGGATGGAAATGGCTCTCACCTTTGTGGGCTTTCTCCCCAAACCCTACAATCACAGTCTGATCGGAAGAGAAACATCTAAACTTTCTGCATCAAGGCACATCCTACAAAATACATGACCAGTGCTCCTTAAAACTGCCCCCCAAACAAGAAAAGCAGCACCTATGGGTGTAGCCTAGTTGCAGAGATCAGTTTCTAGCCAAACCAAAACAAAAATCCTAGTGAGGCATGGTAGCGTACACCTTTATCCCAGCACTCAGGCAGCAGAGGTAGGTGATCTCTGAGACAGTCTAGTCTGGGCTCATAGTGAATTCTGGACCAGACAGGGCTACATAATGAGACCCCATGTGAAAACAAACAAAACCCACTAAATAAAACAGAAAAACTGGAGCAACTGCCACACTTCAGAGGAGCCCACAAAGACACAACTATGTGTGAGTGGACATGAGGGAAAGAAAGGGGATTGAAATAAGCCTTAGACCTTAGTTAAATTAGTTCACCAACACTAGTATCGCTACAAATGCACTAATTTGCCAAGTGTGTCACACAACAGTGACTATGAATAAGAGGACGTGGGCATGTGGCATGCTGAGAATCGCTGTAGGATCCTCACACTGGGCATGTGACTGCAACTGCTCTCAAATAAAACGACTGTTTCTTTCAAATGCATGAAAACCGAGTCGTGCTCGCCAAGAGAAGCCAGACCCCTGAGCACAGCCAGTTGCCCAAGTGAAAACATTCACTGTCTCCCTTGGCCCCTCACATCAGATATCTAAAATCCTTTCTTAGATAACGCCACCCTTCCCATTAGAGAACCCCCCTTTGGGGGTTGCATATCAGATACCCTACATATCAGGTATTTACATTATGATTCCTAATAGTAGTAGAATTACACTTATGAAGCAGCAACAAAAATAACTTTATGGTTGGGTCATCATAACATGAGGGACTATATTAGAGGGTCCCAGCATTGGGAAGGTTGGGAATCATTGGCCTGGATCTAAGCTCTTGGTGCAGGGACCACTGCACCTAGCACACATAGGTGCCTAGTAAATGCTTTGCAAGGTCAATCTGAATAAGCCTTTTCCATCCTGATTTGCCTCAGGAGTCTGCAGCTAGAGAATCAGGAAGTTTCCAGCTAGCCTGGGATACCTAGACCTTCTCAAACACCAGACTAGGATACAGCTGAGTGGTAGAGCACAAGGAGAACTTAAGTTCCGTCTTCAGCGAAAAAAAGAATCAAAAAAGGCCTTAAACAAGAACATGCCGGCTGTGGTATACTTTAAATCCTGACACCAGATTACTCCTTTTAACACAAGCAACTGTTGATCTAGGTGTGATGTTCTGAGATTTCTTTCAGAAGTCTAAATTCCTATAGTGGTAAAGGCTATGGGATTGGGGAAGGGCCTATGCATTTACTTGTCTGGACACAAAGGACCTCATGATGTGTGTAGACGGGGCCCTCACGCTTACCGCCACTCCACCCTCACAAGCCCTGTCTGAATGCCAGACTTCCTTGACAGTGAAGCCAAGGTCATGGTTGCTTCAAACAGCAGCCACACCATCAGGGCCTAGCACAGACCCAGAGCATTTAAAGTGCTTAATAACTATATG